TGTAGATTCTAAGCAAATTGAATTAACTATTTTTGAAGATTCTCAACAGCTTGAATTAGTTATACCAGATTAATTACCCAAATAAGTTAATCTTGTCATTTACTATATATTAAAATCATTTATTATTTATTTATTTATTTGGCATGATATTAAATATCTTGAGATAAATAGTTATTTATATTTAATAGTGGTAAAAATAATAACCTCACAATTGTCATATATTTGAAATATTTTTTTCATTTGAAATTTTGATGTCAAATATGCACATTCAATAATTTTGTTGTATGATTTTTGGGCTGCTGTATATTTAAAAATATAAAATTTTGTTTATGTGACGAAATATTTATTTATATTAATATATGTAAATAAGACATAAAAGATTGAGATATTAAGAGCGAGAAAAGGTATAATTACTAGTGACATTACTTGACTTGCATTCCCTATTTTTGGATCAAAATATAATGAGCAAAAGAAAAAAATTTTATGTTGGATCTTTTGTTTAATGCCATAAATCAGATCTTGTACTAATGGTTTCATGCTTTATTGATTTTTTCCTCGATTCAAACATCCAATCTGGAACTAGGTCCCGGATTATTACAATTGAGGTAACATCCGGGTAAACGTCCAATTGCTGAAGAAATTCAAAAAATTCTGGTTCTTGGTGTGGTGTAGCATATTGTCCTGCTTTGAAGACGAAGAAACACGTTCAAAAGCAATTTGATAAAATGGATAAGATTAAATATGTTCCTTCAACAGCAGTTTATCTAAATGCAGTTTACTAGCAGATTATTAAAGTTTGAAAATCTATCAATTCCAATAGTCACAATTATTGATAATTATGGTAATTATTAACATTTCATTGTTTTTATTTATTCAAGTTTAATATCTGGTTAATCGTTATTACTATTTTAAAAATATAATATACATAATCATTATTAATAATTTTAAAAACATTTAAAACATTTAGTTTTCAAAATTTTTCTCATAAACAACATTTCCATTAAATATAGTAGATAAGACTTTGATGTTTGGTATTTCTTGTTCTGGTATTTTCATAATATCTTTATCAATCACTATAAAATCTGCGTATTTCCCTATTTTTATTGACCCCAACTAAAAATATATATATGTAAGTGCTAATAATTATCTTTATGTAAAAGAAATTTTTATAACAAATAAGCATACAATATCTTCACAAAATCCAGCATAAGCAGCATCAATGGTGAAACCACGTAATGTTTCTTTTCTCGTCAAACATTCTGATTCAAACCATCCTTTTTCACCATGTGGCTATTTTATGTATTATAATAATAATAATAATAAATTTTTATGTTTTTTTCTAAAGATAAAAAAATTATAAATAGTAACAGTAAAGTCTTACAGATTTTCCATTCGTCCATTTTCTTGTGATTGCAGAATAAAATCCTAAAAATGGATTTACAGACTCTATAGGGAAATCTGAAGAAAGTGGAAATCTTTTAACTCTAGAGGAAATTAAAAATAATACAATGAAATTTGTTGTTTATTTTAAATTATAGCATATATCTGTATATAAGTGAATGTATTGGTATATTTAACACTTTTTACCCAGAATTAATTAAAGACCTCCAAGCATATGCGCCTTTTATACGTTCAGGACCCAATCTTTGTTCAGCATATGACATATCAGAAGTTGCTAAAATAACAATAATTTCGCACTTATATCAATTCTTTTTTTTAGTAATAATGATGATGATGAATAACTTACCATGAGTTGGTTGCATTGATGGAATTATGTTTAATTCTCCCATCCGTTTAATATCTTTTTGTGTCTATAAATAAAATAATACATAATACTGATATTTTAACTCGGAATTTCTTTGTAAAAAAATAATAAATTACCAATATCTGTGCATGTTCAATTCTAAATCTTAATTTATCTCCTAATCTTCTAATCTCTTCTTTTAATTGTTCTTCTAATAATTCATTAGAATTATTTGGACTAGACTTGATAATGTAATCTTTAAAACTTTTCTCGTATGCATCAATAATAATCTGATTTGCTTTATCTCCAATACAATGCGTATTTACTTGAAATCCCTAAAATATGTGCAAAGCTTTCGTAAATATTTATGGATGCATATATGTGTAGTAAAATAATAAATATACAATTAAGTAATTAAATCCTATTTTTGCACCTTTTCAATCCATTGATTAATTACAGTAGTTAATAAAGAAGGATCAGAGAGTAACAAGCCTTGTTTTGTTGGATCGTCTATTCATAATTTATGTGAAATTTATATGAGAGAAGAAAAACTATGATTTCTATAATTTTAAATATTTATACCAGAATATGGTTCTAATAATGCTGTTAAAAGTCAAAAAAAAAAAAAAAAATTATAAATATTCCAAATAAAATCCTAAAAATTCTATTATAACGATAAATTCCTTACCAGCTCCCCAACTTCCCAATGCCCCATCCATCACCAATTTAACGCTTCTTACAAATAATCTCCCATCGCCTATTCCATCAATTCGTTTTACTTGGTCACCACAATAAACATTTCGTGGACTCTCAACCATTGCATAATTCCTAATATTAAAATTTTCAGGATTTTCTAAAATAATTCTAGATGATGTAAGTGAAGGAAAAAATTAACTTTGTTGCATTTTTTAATTAAAATATTAGATATCAAGATAATCTTACTTTTCAAAAAAATTTATTAATCTTAATTCGACACATGCATCATGAACTCCTGTTAAACCGTTCTCATGCATTTTTGAAATTGCTCCCTTTATTTGTGTAAATAATGTTGATTCAGATGGCAATGGTACTAATTTATCTACCATCAATCAACAAATAAAGTAATAAAAATTTGTTATTCGTTATTTATTATTATTTAATATTTAATGTCAAGTGTTGATTAATTAATTAATATTAATATTATAGCCAACCAATCAATTCAACTGCATTATCTATGAAAATTCCAGTCAATTCATTAGTTTCTTTATCTCTGCATATCTCACCACCTTCAATTTCTTCAGGTAAATTATTATTTTCTTGAAGTATGTCTAGAGTCTTCTTATTAACCCATACTGCGTGTCCATCAATTCGTGTTAATAAAATTGAAAATTTTGATAAAATTGGATCGGAATCTAAATCATTCTAAAATTTATAATATATTTATAAACATAAACATATGACCATGTGAATTATTTATAAAAAAAAAATTTCGTTCACTTACATGAGTAGGAAATAATTTAGATGACCAAAGTGTTTGATCCCATCCCCATCCTTTTATCCACTGAATTTCAGAAGAATCTTTCTCACTCGAACGAATTGATAAATACTCGCGAATTCTCTCGCGCACCTCTTCACACATAAAGAAATCATCAGATTATCACAACATCATTATAATTATGATTATTATGATCATTATGATTACCTTGTGTGGATTTTGCACCAACAAGATCTACAGATAATAAAGATTCACCAAGGTTCGATAAATGCTAATTTTTATTTCATCGAGATCAAAATATAGTTAATAAATTAATACAATATAATACTTTAGTAACATAATTTACATACTGCATGAGCATCGATTAAACCAGGTAAGATTGTTTTTCCATTTAAATTTATATGCTAAAAATAAATATTTAAAGAAAATTAAAAAAAAATCAAATCATTTATTTAACTTTTTATTTGATTAATTACTTTAAAATCTTTCCATTTTTCCAAGATTAAAGATGATGAACCAACATCCACAAAAATATTTTTCAACACTACTAATGAATCAACAACATTTGGTAAAGATTCATTATCATCCTCGACTGTATAAATATTTGCATTATAAATTACGTATCCATGTTCACTTTGTAAATTCTCTCTGATAAATATAATAAAATAATTTTACTTTTTAATTACTCATAATTAAATATGTGTTAATATTAATATATATATTACATACGACAACGACATTATTTTTGAAATTTCAGATAAAAAACTAATCCTTATTTAGATTAGTTATCACGTGACAATCAAAATTCATTTTTAACAAAATATCTTTTATTTTTATAATTGAAAAAAATTTATTATTATTTTGTTTAATTCAATAATTCGCTTAAATTACATATTGGAAATAAAAAAATATCATTAATCATTTTTTTCAGGTAATTCACCACACTTAGTAATTATAACTTCTTTTTGAGGAGTTCCGTCTGATGAACCCAATTTTTCAATCTCAGTAACTACAGTCATTCCTAAATAATCAAATAACGAATAAATAAGCAAATAAATTAAAATATTCAAAATAATTAACTACTTAAATAAATAACTATTACCTTCAGTAACATGACCAAAGACAACATGCTTTTTATCCAACCAAGCAGTCTTTACAGTGCAAATAAAAAATTGAGACCCATTGGTGTTAGGTCCAGAATTTGCCATGGAAAGAACACCTATACATGTAATAACATTGACAAAATGATAAAATGAATGATGGTAAAATGAGATATTATTTAAACATATGTTCTATGTGTGTGTGTGTGTGTGCGTGTGTGTATATATATATATATATGCATAATGAATGACAACTATTTACCAGGGCCGGTATGCTTCAATGTAAAGTTTTCATCAGGGAATTTTGCACCATAAATGGATTTCCCGCCTCTACCATCACCTCTCTCAAAGTCACCGCCTTGAAGCATGAATTGGGGAATGATACGATGAAATTTGGAACCTTCGTATCTAAGTTTTGGATCATCACCGACACATAAAGCTCTGAAATTTTCAGCTAAAATGATTATTTTTTATGAGAAAGAAAAATAATAAGAACGAGAACGAGAATGAGAGTAAGAAATCATAACAATAAGGATGTATTGTTTAAAAATTAGTTAATTAAATTTAATTTTACCAGTTTTGGGAGCAACATCTTTTCTCAATTCAATAACAATACGCTAAAATAATATTAACAGTATTAAATTAAAAAAATTATATAAATAAAAAATAAATAATTTAATTAATTACTCCTAAAGGTTGTGCTTTAGCATCGTTTTTTCCTTTGGTACTAATATCAAGAAAAACTTTTGGATTTGACATCGTTAAAATAATTAAAAAAATAATGTAAAAAAAATTTTTTTTTATAAAGGAAAAAAAAGTTGTAGTACCAAATAATTTAATGTACACATTTAATCTATTACTATCAAGATTTAAACTAGGTCCCGAAAAAACATGGGGCCAAACACTCAATTTTCATATAAAGTAAGTATGCAAAACTTGTTGAAACAGGCAGACTCAGAGCTCTTCATCGTACCCGCCCATCAATTGATCGATTGGGTGTGTGGGACATCTAATATCCTTCTTATCGATATTGTAGATCTCTGGGGCGACTCACTAAAATTGACAATTCAACAGCATCAGCTTTGAGACTATATTATATACTTATCCTTCCCCAGGCTAAGGCTTTATCCTTACGTTTGTAGTAGGAATAAAGATCTGTCCTTTTGGGAATTGTCCACGTGCTATGATATGTAAATTCTGAACCTTTAATTTATGTAAAAATTCAATGTATTGATGGGAATTTCTAAAGACAGTGCTCATCCCATGTACCTAATGCGGAGTTTACAAGTTTTTCATTGACTAGCTAATTTACGAAATATGCATGATAATAGCAAATTAGTCTTCAAAATGACTTCTATTTTATTTATTGTAATTTTGCCAACTTTAGTATGAATGAATACCCAAGATTAATCAGTACTAGTGGTCCAAGATTGATTTATAATTCCGATTAGGCTATACAGTATGACTCAAAAAAACTAGTTTTCACAAAAACACAAGAAACTTAAAAGTATAATAATGTAAAAGGCTATTTTACATTTTTGGATGGATCAATCCAGATCTTTTAACAGAGAACATGTGTGGTACATTATGAATGTCGAAAAAGAATGTAGCAAACATTGATTATCATCCGAGCGTGTAAATGGAAGAATTACATATACATAAATAATAATATTTTTTTAGTCAATGTTAAAAATCATAATATGCCCAACAAAAAGGTCAAGTTTGTTTATGCAAAAAAATCATTTCACCATCAATCATTATGCGATGTTTTCGCGATACGAAGAAGTTTTACATGCAATGAAAAAAAAAAATAATTAAATATAATACATGCACCTAAGATCTCTCGCACTGTTAAGAAAACTTTGCTAAAATGGCATGTAAATTTAAAAACTTGGCAAACAATATTTTTGAAATTTACAACGATATGCTTTCATAACAGTGGAATTGATTGAGAGAGAGAAAGAGAAGAAAAGAGTGCTGCTGTGTTATATTTTCAGACATATTAGAAAATAAAAAATGTGCTCGAAAGGCTCGTCCGCCCCTCTCTCTCGGGAACTTATTTAGCCTTTGCTATATAGTCTCGAAAAACAGCATCCAATATTTTCTCTAAACTAAATCTTCCATAACAGGTGTTCATCTTGTTTAGTCATACATACTCCACTGTGGAAAATCTATCAATTTTCACTTTTTGCTGTTGTTCTGGAACTAGGTTTACAACAATCATTTTTATGTTTCGTGAACGATGATAACACCATGTACTTTTCACAACTCCTTTATCCTTTCTTAAGTAAAGAAGGAGACGATATATGGAAAATCAAAAAGTCTTTGGAAATTTCCTTGGTGCCGCTGACTAAACGTTCAGGTAGTAAATGGTGAAGACGTTTACCATGTTAAGATAATAATATAATTGGTAACGTAACAAAAACTAAAAAAAGAATTGCAAACTAGTAAGAGAAAATAAGAAACGAAAATAAAATCTTTATAGTAATGTTTAGAATATTTAAATAATAATTTTTTATTAAGCCCTATTATTATTACAATTATTACCATCAAGAAGATTCCTCTATACAACAAAATAATAATAATAATAATAATAATAATAATTCTTTTTTTTTTTAATTTTAATTGTCAATTTTTTTTTAATATCGTTATTAATTTAAATTAAGCAATGATTTTTCTTGAATTTGATTGTTTTGTGATGAAGTGATAATAGTAATCGTAATCGTAATCGTAATCGTAATATAATCCCAATTAATCCCAATTAGCAAAAAAGATCACGAGGATGTGTTAGATGAAGAAGAAGCATTAATGTTGTTAAAAATTGAATTTATTCCAATAGAATTGATGTTGTTAGTGTTTCTACTAGTATTAGCAATTGTTGTTAAAGTTGTTATAGTGTTAGTTCCAACATTGACAGTATTCGTAGTAGCAGCATTTACAGCAATTCTATTTCCAATATTAGCATTAATAATTACATTATTATTATTTCCATTAGTAGCATTATTTCCATTATTAATAGTTCCAAACATAGCATCATCATCATCATCATCATCGTCCTCTTCACCGAAATTTTCTCTGTCAGCAACAAACAAACTACTTTTACTAATTACACCTGTTTTAACATCTTTGATAAGATCTATCACTTGTCTTACAACTTTATCAGGATCAATACCTATCTTTACATCTTCTACATGTGCTTTGTAAAGACTTGAGACCTTTTAAAAATTTTTGAAAAAAAATAGTAATATGAATAAACGAATATTTTATAATTTGCATAAGCCAGATTTATTTTGATTTACCTTAAAAATAGCACTAATTTCATAAGTTCCACCTAAAAAGAAATCTGGATCTTCATTAAGTTCTTTAAAAATTGCTTGATATTCATGATGATTCTTAATTCTATATTAAAAATAAATATTATTGTTATTATTGCTATTATTAATATTTTCATTAAAATATATATATATATCTTCTGCTCTCACTCCTCCCTTTCATCCCCCATCTCTCATATCGAAAAGGTACCTTGTATTGATGTCATCTTTACGATTTTCTTTTTCCATTTGCCTAACATTTTCTTTAATAAAAGGTTCCAATTGACTCAACGGTGAAAGCTCCTCATCATATATCCAAGATTGGGCTAATTGATTCAACGAGAACCAAGTATTTGACGAGATCCATCTAACCCTAGTCTGAAACGAAACACCATCCAACGGTCGCTTGATAACGCTTTTATTCCAGAGATTAGACACTAACCGATGTTTCCTAGCAATACTATCAACCTTCTCCAACCTAGACAATCTCGAATCTTCACAATCCTTGATTCTTCTAATTGTTTGTCTGATATTTGATCTACTGTCTTGATGAGAATTTGTGTGTACTTCATAATAATAACAGCTGGATGAAAAGGCGGTCCATGAACAAGGGCGCCTTGGAGGATTATAGAAATCTGATACGATTCCGAGAAATCGTTTATATGAGGCTCTTGCCTCGGCTGTGATTAGTTCTGGTGAGAATGTTGGCACTTCTTTTAATAATTTTTTCATGAAATCTTCTGCACGGGCAATGAATTTTACAGCTGCTCGTTTTGGGACCGATGGGTTTCTTGCAGAATAGTAATACTCTTCTCTTGCTTCTGGGCATAACAATTGTTCAGGGCCTTTATAATTGATTTCGGGATATTGTCTCAATTCCATATCCATCCATTCCTTACGTCTCAACACTGTATTTGCTCTGACAATATCTTTTGCAGCATCTACAAAATTAATTTGATTGGGAAAAAATGTAAAATCATATATATATATTCTTCTAATAATTTGAAAATATGAAAATATATATATATACAAACATTCTAAGCAACCACAATAACCATCTTCAGTGGAACAAAAGCCGTCGTAATTTTTGATAAAATCTTCATATTCACAATACATATGTTTCAATCGCTCAGGCGGCTCCAATAAATCATATTGTGCAGGGATACCTTTCATCCAAAATATTTCCTTGTTCAACAGCCTTCTTTCCAAATTTTTTTCATAAAATTTTCTCAGTTCAGCAACATAAATAGGCAGTTCGGTGAAATACCAATCAATTTTTTCACGTAATTTCCGTTCCAACAATTGCCGCCTCCAGTTCTCTTGAGTTTTAGCTAATTCAATCTCTTTTTTCAATAACAATTGACGCTTACGAAGTCTGGCCAAATACAATTCGCCACATTTTTCTGGTGGTGGTTTTTTACATCGTTTTGCCCACCAGTCACGAGCATCACGTAAAAATTTTGATGGTTCCAGTTCACAGCACAAGAAATCTTCGTTTGTGATGGAGCTGTACCAAGCTTTAACAGACGCTTCAAAGATTTTCTCGCGTTCTCTATAGGAAATTATTTCATTGCGAATTTTCGATGCTGTTAATATTACATGACCACCACCGCCGCGACTACCACCACCACCACCACCACTACAATAATTATACGAACTACTGCCAGTACTTCCAGCCAATACAAATTCATCATATAATTTACGTGTTTTTAAATCCAATTCCAATCTTAACTTGTCAACTTGTACACCATCAGAAATCAATTTAAAATTCAAATCTTTTAATCTTTCTACTCTAGGCACGACGACTGTTTTCAATTCGTACATTATATCATCCAAGCTTTTACGTGATGCTTTATTTTTGTTGCTATTGCTGCTATTATTGTTATTGTTCGTACTGGTGTTATTATTGGAATTATTATTGTTGTTATTATTGTTGTTGTTGTTGTTGTTATTTTGTTCATCGGATAGACGAAGACGTTTACGAGCCAAACTATTATTCGTCTTGTTGGAAATATACTAAATAAAATAATAAATTGAAATAAATTGGAACGGTAAATAAAAATAAAAATAATCGATCAATCAATCAACTAATTATAAATGATAGAATGCCTCTTGAATTTCCAATTTCAATTCTTTGGGAAACCACCATTCTTCCATGACACTCAACTCAGCCTTCAATCTCAACTCTTTGAAACAACGAAGTATAGCATGAGTTCGCTCAGCGCACGATTGTTCCTGTTCACGCTGTTTACGCTTACGTTTAGTAATCTCTTTTGTAAACCGTTCTGCCTGGCGTTTCTGTACATCCAAGTCCAGATATATTTGCGGATCCATATATTTTTGACGCCTCAAGTGTTCTAAATGGTTTCTCAAATAAAAGGTGCAATACATTCCAAGATCATATACAAATGTCTTCCATGGCTATATATATATATCAATAAAAAAAAATAATAAAAAATATTCATTTTCTCTTCTCTCTGACACTTTTTCTATCTCACATATAAAATGCTTACCTTTAGAACTTCGTATTCTTTTGATGTTAATGAGAATGAGGTTAAAGCACTCTTGTTAATTAATTGTCTAACAACACAAAATCTACAAAGACGAACTTCCCAAACAGGTATTGGTTCACCGGGTTGGCCGCACACAGTACACACCTCAGTTACATAATATTTGTAAGATTCGACAAATTGAATTTTCCAATCGGAAACATTAAATTTTTTTGCATCTTTTTTGTTGTTATAATTATCTTTATCATCATCTGATAACCTTTTCCTTGATATTTTTGGAAGAACAGGTGCGTGAACTGGGTGCATGGGATAATCGTCATAATCATCATCAGCATGAATATCATCTTGATTGTTGTTGTCGTTATCATTGTTATTGTTATTATTAGTTTTGTTGCTATTATCATGATCATTATTGCTGCTTATTGTTTCAAGAGATATTATTTCATCATCCAGTGGATTGTATTCAGCAATTAATTGATGATAAAGAAAACGATATGGGCTATGTTGACCTCTTATCAAATTAAAAAATGAGCGAGAAACTTGTTCCATGGCAGCGAGAGATGGACCGTCTAGAAATTCTAATAGGTAAATCAATAATTCCAAAGGCATATTTTTTAGAACGCTATTTGATTTCCTGTGATGATGAGGCAGTAATCCATAATAAAAGGATTTTTTCTTGTGGTAATTATTGTTATTGCGATGATGATGATTGTGATGATGATTGCAATTGTGGTTGTAATTGTTATAATAATAGTTGTTACTGTAGTTGCTGTAATAGTTTGGGTTGTTATGATTATTGTAGTACTGGTAGTTACTAATGGTGTTTTTTCCTGAATATTTGTTATTATTAATATTAATAGGAATAGTATTAGGAATATTATTATAAATATTATAATTGTTATAATTATAATTGTTATTTTGATTATTATTATTATTATTATTATTATTATTATTATTGTTATTGTTATTGTTATTATTATTATTGTTGTTATTGTAATTGTAATTTGTAAATATATTTTTAAAATCTTTTATATCTTTTTTTATATAATTCCCATGCCCACCACCACTAATATTATAATCAAAACCAACGCCGAAACCAAAATTAAAACAAGTATTATTATTATTATTATTATTATTATTATTATTATTATTATTATTATTATTATTACTATTATTGTTATTATTATTATTATTAATATTATTATTATTATCACTGATGATAACACTACCTCCACCCAATCCACCCAAAGAAATTGATGACGATGAAGAAGAAGAAGAAGATATTATTGACGATGATGATGATGATGATGGTGATGATGATGATGATGGTATTGACATTATTGATTTTCTTGATTCCATTTCTTTGCGTTCCAACTCCTCGTATCTTCTTTTCTCATCTCTTTTTTGTATACGTGTAGACCGACGTAACGGAGGTGGACGATCTGGTATAGAATCTTGTGGTCCAGTTTCCATATTATAGTGATATTATTATATGTGAATGAAGAAGTGGATTTTTTGTTTTTGTTGTGATTGAGATTTTTTTTTTTTGATAATGATGGTGATGATCTTTTTAAATAATATATATTGTATAGTGGTGTAACAGTCAATAAAAATAATAATGAATAAATAATATAATATTTAATATTGATTGTGTGTGTCTCTTGCTCTTTCTTCTTTTCTTTTATATAAAAGATTTTTCAAAATTTCACATACATATACACTTGCACACTAATTCAAAATTTTCTCTTGAATGTTGTTTTATTGAATTTTCTCCTTTTTTGCCTTTTACTTTCTCTCGCTTTTTTTGATTTCTATATGCAGATATTATAAAACTAATTTATATCTTCTATAAATAATATAATGTATGTATTATACGTGCAAATATAGATGTATATATATGACAAGCTGTATAAATATAAAAAATATACAAAGAAAATGAATGAATGAATAGAATATTAGTTTTTTTCGAAATAAATATGAAAGAAAATTTTTTTTAGAAAAAAAAAAGATTTTGAAAAATATTATTATTTATAATAATAAATGATGAATATCACTAATAAATGTATATATTAATAATATAAATAATAATATAAATAATAATAAATAATGAATTATTCTCAGCCGACTAAGTTAATTAGCTTAGCTTATGTATATATATTTAACAATATAATTTTAGTAAGTACATCTAGACCCTATATATATATAAAGGTATAAAGATGGAAAAAATTTTAATCGCAAAATATTTTTCTTTCTTGCAAAAGTTTTACAAATCCAATAACTCTACCCACCACTATATTCCTAATTACTAATATTGCAAACCAAACAATATTTAATTACAAGTAGCTAACAATAATGTTAAAAAAAAAAAAGAACGCGACCAAAGCTTTATAAATATTTATTGAAAACACACGTACCTATATAAAGTAATAATAATATTACCAAGTGGGTTATTATAATATAAGATATTTTCTAAGTATTATTTATTCTCTATATGACAACAATAAATAATAAATAATAAATAATAGTAATAATAATAAATTTTTTTTGAAAAGAAGAAAATATTTTGAATGATAAAGAAAGAAAGAAAGAGAGAAGAGGAAGAGAAGAAAGAAAAGGGTGAGGCTATTAAAAAAATTTTTAGTGTATCAGTGTGAGAGTTTTATGTGTGTTGTTGTGTTGGAAATTTTTTTTATTGTTGTTTGTGTATAAATGTGTGTGTGTGTGTGAGTAGTAAGAGAGTGAATATATGTATGTATGTATGTATGTTATGTTTGTTTATTTATTATTGTTTTATTTATAATTAAATACTATTTTATTTATATTATAACATGTTACAATGAATAATAATAATAAATAATGAAGTGATGACGATAGTGGTATAAATAAAATACAGCCAAATTACGACAATACAACTAGTATTATAACTAGTATCCATCAGATTAATTAATCTACATATTAGTGTAGATTAGTTCTCGAACATTGCTTGTTGGATAGTTATTCGAAAGCTTATTTATTTTATTAGTATTATTATGTTAATTGAATAATTTTAATTAATATATATTTATATTTATATACACAATAATTATAAAGAGGAAAAAATTTTTCTATGAAGAGAATGAATGCAAACACAAAAAAATAAGCCCAAGCAGGAGATTATCAATTATTATTTATTTACTCTTTATTTTAATTTTTAGGTAAAAGGTATTTGTTTGTTACTAATATTTATTTAGATAATTTATGGGGAAATAACAGTCTTCTGCAGATTTATTTTTATAAACAATTTTTTTTTACAATAAACAATTTTACAATAAAAGCCATCCGCTGCAAATATATGTATATATGTCACAGACGTATATATAAATAAATATCACTAATATTTTATTTTAGGATTTTTTTGTTTCGCGACATACAATTAAAATTTTTTATTTACCTTTGTGTTTTTTATTTTCGACGCAAATTTCTTCTTTTATCACTTTTTAAAATTATATAATTATATGCAATCTTCCTCAGTTAGCCGTGATTCATAATCAATTTCTTATTCAAATTTAAGCCATTTTGGGATGAGACATCAGTTGGCACCCTTTAAAGTCACTATATAGTAAATCACTGTGAGTGCTCTAAAAATAATAGTTTTCTCGAGTTACAGTTAATTCAACTAAACCAACAATATCTAATGATTTAAATCGCACATTCCACTTTTACCAGATGTCATATGGAAGAGTCTTAAAGAAGATAATCTATAAATAGAAGATGTAGCCTTACCCCCCAGGAATCAGACTTTATCCCGATTCGTAATGTATTGGTGGACATACAACATCTAAAGGGTATCTACGTGAAAATTATATCAATAAAACTGGAGATTTTACACGTAATGAATCAATTGGTTCTTGACATCCCTGTAATATTAAAGAATAAATCAAATATTGTTGCAAGAAAAATTTAAATTAAAAATTTAAAATTGTCGTTCCATCCACCAAGAGGATACAAAATGGTTGTTTTTCATTCCTCAAAGGCATTATTAACCAAGTGAAAAAATACAATATAACTGTCGTCTGACCATGGATCATCCATCACAGTGAACTTCAAATTAAAGACGCTTCATTTCTCTTGACCCAATTGTGAGAACTTTCATCCAAAGTGAAATAAAGGGATTCTATTCATTATTATAGTAAAACGAATAGATGTATAACAAAAGGAGGCTAGGGGTATAACAATTTATTATACCCCTGGCTTCTTTGGTTAGAAACTCCCATGTGTAAGTGTAATTTTGTGGATGAATGTTTTGCTCCCTGAATTTGAAACACAAGACACGATCAACGATCAAAAAAATGATAAAAATGCGCCAATATTTGGCCCACAAACCCCGCGAGTATCCTTAGTGCAATGTGGCCGGTCGTCTGCAATGAAGAATTTACTGGTAAAACGTGTGAATGTTGTATTAAACAAAGTCTAAAGACTTTTAGATTTATGTACATTTCACAAGTCAATCATTGATGGAGATGTAAATGGTGCCGTAATCTACTTTTTAAAGTACATTACGAAAGACGTTGGGAGATACCTTCTTGTAGGCTGTCTATGCAGGACCTGTGTTTAGATATGAGTATTTTTTAATATTTTTTTTTTTGTTTTTAAAGGAGGGGAAAAAAAGAAAAATTGTGATACAAAATTAAAAATCACACCCTCTTGTTTTCAAATGGGAAAAAGCAACATTGTTAATCTTAAATGTCCAAATTAAGTGAATTTTTATTTGTTATTTATATTTTATATAGTTATTCCAATAAATTATATTAGTTATTCCAATAAATTATATTAGTTATTCCAATAAATTATAAATTATATTATTAATTACATTTTATGTTTTTATATTACTATCATTATTATTGTTATTATTATTGGAAAAACCTAAAATATAAATCTTTAATTTTCTTGTAATTCTTTTTTAATTAGAATGGGCTTTATTAATTATATAATTGTACATGAACAACAATATAATATTTTTGTAGTTTGTTTTTTGATTTTCATTTTACATTATATGGGTGGGGCTTGCAGCAACAAAACGAACATGAACATTATGTCACAGAAGAAATTCCAGAGATCAGAATTTTTAAAATCACAATTGTACTACCAATACGTGATTATGACACAAAATGGTGAGTGTTTTGTTTTCATAATAACTTTTTAAACCCTCCATGGCACTAATTGATTAATTGTGATGTTTCAACTTGATTGATTCTAATTAGATACATGCATCATAATGAAACATTTTTTGAATAAGTTACACATTCAAGACTCTATTAAAACGCAATATTTTTCGATTGATCCTCCTTTTCTTCTTACTATACTTATAATAATAGGTTGGCTGAATTTACATTAGAAACAATATAATCAACTGAAAACCAAGCTGCGAATATCTTTACAATGATATTTAACAAAATACTTATGGATTGTTGGCTGGCCTTTATCTGTTCATTATAAAACTTACAAGAACCAGTTTTATAACATAAACTAATATATGTCGTCAAGATTAATTTGACTTTTTTTTAATTGCGTTGCGTCTGACTCGATTTATATTTAATATGTTTTTCAAAAAGTCACCTGATTGAGTCAAGTGATCAAATTATTTTTACTACATGAACGACTCAATATCAATATAATAGAGAGAGCCTGTAAAACTTAAAATAATACAAGTAAACTGATTAGTATTTGAAATTTGATAAAAAGGTTGAGCAGGTCTTGGCTTTTTTCATGGAAACTGGAATTCGGAGAAAGAAATGGAATGAAAAACCAATCCTGGAAAAAAAACAATGGAAACAATTTCAGGAATGTGCTGTTGAAAAGAGATGGAGGATGAAGAAAATAATGAAGAAAGTATTAATGTTAATAGAGGTTCTATTAGAATTGCCAAAGAATAGGCGATACTCATAAATGGCTTCAGATCCTGCTTTGGTGATTTTCTATTATATAGTTTTAATCCTTTCCTTGTACCTTTGTTTCCACATATCTATCGCAATGTTTATGGTGATTATGTAATAAATAAACTTGATGTTATTATTCAATGTTATTGTTTGACATATATGTATATGTTAAATTAATTAAAATTGCATCGCCCAAGTAATAATGCAGAAACGAAACTTTTAAGGGGCCTTGAGTATCATGCAGTCCCGGATTAAAACGTGCGCATCACAGCTATACATGAAGTCGAACTATTTCGACCATTTGCAGATCTGGTCGAAATAAGGTCGAAACTGATTTTTACTATGTTGGGGTTTTAAATTTCGACTTTATGTATAAATCACAGCAAGTTATTATTTCTGTTGAAATTGTGTGTGTCAGTTTAATCTTTCTGCCATGCTGATTACTAATAGGCCGTGTTATAGTGAACATGACAGGCTTCATGGAGGGTTTCTACCCTCTCTACCCAGAATGAATTAACATTAGAAAAATTAGAAAAACGAAATATTTTATAATTGAAC